CTGCGGTGTTATGCAACACAACTATAGTGTAATGCAACACAACTATAGTGTAATGCAACACAACTGCGGTGTAATGCAACACAACTATAGTGTAATGCAACACAACTATAGTGTAATGCAACACAACTGCGGTGTAATGCAACACAACTATAGTGTAATGCAACACAACTGCGGTGTAATGCAACACAACTATAGTGTAATGCAACACAACTGCGGTGTAATGCAACACAACTATAGTGTAATGCAACACAACTACAGTGCAACACAACTACAGTACAACACAACTGCGGTGTAATGCAACACAACTACGGTGTAGGGCAACACAACTACAGTGTAATACAAGACAATTACAGTGTGATACAAAACATCTACAGTGTAATGCAACAGTGCTACTTTGTGCAACACTACACTCATGTACAACAATACTGCTGTGTACAACACTACTGTTATGTGCAACACTACTGTCATACACAACACTACTGTCATGTACGCCACTACTGTCATGTACGCCACTACTGTCATGTACACCACTACTGTCATGTACACCACTACTGTCATGTACACCACTACTGTCATGTACACCACTACTGTCATGTACAGCAACACTACTGTTATGTACAACATTACTGCTATGTATAACACTATTGTCATGTACAACAACACTGTCTTGTACAGCACCACTGTCAAGTACACCAATACTTGTCATGTAAAACGTCATGTAAAATCACTACTGTCATGTACACTACTTTCATATACAGCAATACTAGTGTCATGTACAGCAACACTACTGTCATATGCAACACTACTCTCATATACAACACTACTATAATGTACAAGAACACTTCTGTCATGTACAACACTACTGTCATGTACAGGGTTATAAACTATTCCACACTGATAAGGTCAACAGGAAGGGTGGTGGAGTGGCAATGTATGTCAGAGATAATTTAAATTGTTGTCTTAGATATGATATAAGATTAGAAACATCGGACACAGAGTCTGTTTGGATACAGTTTCTGGAGGGTCGTGACAAATTAATTTTGGGTGTGATTTATAGGCCCCCAAACCTTGATCGGGAGTGCAGTAAGCTGTTATGGGACGAAATTCAAAAGGCATCTAGATATGAAAATGGTGTGATAATGGGAGATTTTAACTTTAGACAAATTGACTGGAACAATGTGACAGAAAATCTTGAGTCTAGTGACTTTCTTGATACGGTTCAGGATTGCTTTTTAAAACAGTTTCTGACAGAACCAACTAGAGGGAATAATCTGCTTGACTTGGTTCTTGCCAACAAAGAATCACTAGTTAATAATCTTGAGGTTAATGATGAGCTTGGGGAAAGTGATCACAAATCACTTAGTTTCAAAATATCGTGGAGTTACTAGGATAACTGCAATCAAATCTCTGTCCCAGACTTTCACTTGCCGGATTTCATGGGACTGAGAAATTACCTGAGTGGGTTAAATTGGGATGTCCTGACTATGGGTCAGGTAGGTTTTTCAAAGCATAGTTCTAGCTGCCCAGACAACTCTTGTTCCGAGTAGGGAAATTAGATCTAACAAAAATGATCCCAAATGGATGAACAATAGATTAAAACATCTCATTGCTCAAAAGAGAGGCATATATAGGCGTATCAAAAGAGGGAATGGGCAGTTAAGAAATCAATATATTCAATTAAAGAGAGAAATAAAAAAAGGAATAAGAAGAGCAAAAAGGGATTATGAGGCTAGGGTCGCAAGGGATTCAAAGACTAACCCAAAAGGGTTCTTTCAGATATACAGAAGTAAGATTAGGGACAAGATAGGACCACTTAAGAGTAACTCTGGTCAGATCACTGACAGTGATAAGGATATGTGTGAAATTTTCAGTTCTTACTTCCTCTCAGTTTTCACCCAGGAAAATACTAGCGAAATTCCAGAAATAATAGATTATGTAGAACAGGACGATAATAAACTATGCACGATTGCGGTAACTAGTGACATGGTCCTCAGACAAATAGAGAAATTAAAATCTAACAAATCCCCAGGTCCTGATGAACTGTTTGCAAGGGTGTTAAAGGAATGTAAAGAGGAACTTAGCATACCTTCGGCTAATTTTTTCAACATATCACTAATATCTGGCATAGTGCCTGATAAGTGGAAAATGGGAAATGTAATACCTATTTACAAGGCAGGTGACAGATCCTTGGCTTCGAACTATAGACTAATAAGCTTTACCTCCATAGTGGGAAAATTTATGGGATCAATAATTGTCGAAGCAATTCGTAGCCATCTTGATAGGCATAAATTGATTAATGAATCTCAACTCAGTTTTACAAAAGGGCGTTCCTGTCTTATGAATTTTCTAACTTTATTCACCAAGGTGTTAGAGGAGGTAGATCATGGTAATGAATATGATATTGTGTATATGGACTTCAGTAAGGCTTTCGATAGAGTTCCACATCAGAGGCTATTGAGGAAACTTAAGGCACACGGAATAGGAGAAATTTTTTCCTGGGTAGAGGCATGGTTGACGAATAGACAGCAGAGAGTTTGCATAAATGGGGAGAAATCAGAATGGGGGCACGTCACAAGTGGTGTTCCACAGGGGTCTGTGTTGGTCCCCTTGTTGTTCACAATTTACATAAACGGCATAGATGAGGGAATAAATAGCGACATAAGAAAATTTGCTGATGACACCAAAATAGGCCGTCCAATTCATTCTAATGAGGACACTAGAGCACTCCAGGATGATTTGAATAGGCTGATGCAGTGGTCGGAGAAGTGCCAGATGCAGTTTAATATAGGCAAATGCAAAGTTCTAAATGTTGGACAGGAAAATAACCATGCCACATATAAACTAAATAATGTAGATCTTACCATACCACCGGCGGGATTGAGCCCGCGGTCAGAGAGTCTCAAAACTCCAGACCGTCGCGTTAGCCACTGGACCAGCTAGCCACAATAAGATTCGTCCAACTAGGTATATTTCTACACCATAGGAAGGTTAGCATAGGCACCACTGTGACCACAAATGCAAGTTTCTATGCTAACCTTCCTATGGTGTAGAAATATACCTAGTTGGACGAATCTTATTGTGGCTAGCTGGTCTAGTGGCTAACGCCACGGTCTGGAGTTTTGAGACTCTGACTGCGGGTTCAATCCCGCCGGTGGTATGGTTTGCTATCGTGTCATTACGATTTCGTGAGTAATGTAGATCTTAATATTACGAATTGCGAAAAGGATTTAGGAGTTCTGGTTAGCAGTAATCTGAAACCAAGACAACAGTGCATTAGCGTTCGCAATAAAGTTAACAGAATCCTTGGCTTCATAGCAAGAAGTATAACTAATAGAAATCCTCAGGTTGTTCTTCAACTCTATATATCCTTGGTTAGGCCTCATTTAGATTATGCTGCACAGTTTTGGTCACCGTATTACAGAATGGATATAAATGCTCTGGAAAACGTACAAAGGAGGATGACAAAAATGATTCCATGTATCAGAAATCTTCCCTATAAGGACAGACTGAGGGCCCTGAATCTCCACTCTATAGAAAGCCGTAGAATTAGTGGTGATATGATTGATGTGTATAAATGAAAAACAGGAATTAATAAAGGTGATGTAAATAACGTGCTAAAAATATCTAGCATAGACAGGACTCGCAACAATGGCTTTAAACTGGAAAAATTCAGATTCAGGAAGGATATAGGAAAGCACTGGTTTGGTAATAGAGTTGTGGATGAGTGGAACAAACTCCCGAGTAGTTTTAAAAATAGGTTAGATAAATACATGAGTGGGTGTGGGTGGGTGTGAGTTGGTCTTGACTAGCTTGTGCTACTAGGTCGGATGCACTGCTCCTCCCTTAGGTGACGTGTCTGACCTCACTAGGTCAAGGCATTGGCTTAAGCCGGTGGGAGAATTGGAGCTGCCTCGCATAGGCCAGTAGGCCTGTTGCAGTGTTCCTTCTTTCTTATGTTCTTATGTTAACACTACTGCCGTGTAAAACGCTACCGTCATGTACATCACTGCTGTCATGTACATCACTGCTGTCATGTACATCACTGCTGTCATGTACATCACTGCTGTCATGTACATCACTGCTGTCATGTACAATACTGCTGTCATGTACAACACTGCTTTCATGCATAACACTCTCCCGTATAACACTACTGTTATGTACAAAACTACTGTCATGTACAACACTACTGTCATGTACAAAACTACTGTCATGTACAACACTACTGTCATGTACAACACTACTGTTATGTACAAAACTACTGTCATGTACAACACTACTGCCATGTACAACACTACTGTCATGTACAACTACTGTCATGTACAACACTACTGCCATGTACAACACTACTGTCATGTACAGCACAACTGTAGTGTACAATACTACTTTTATGTGCAACACTACTTTCATGTACAACACTGCTGTAGTGCACAACTCTACTGTAATGTAAAACATTACTTTCATGTACAACACTACTGTCATGTACAACATTACTTTCATGTACAACACTACTGTCATGTACAGTACTATCGTCAAATACAACACAATTGTCATGTGCAACACTACTTTCACGTACAGGACTCTCCCATACAACACTACTGTTATGTACATCACTACTGTTACGTACAACACTAGTGTCGTGTAAAACACTACTGTCATGTACAACACTACTGTCATGTACAACAACACTACCTGTACAAATGTATACAATACTGTCATGTCAACAACACTACCGTCATGTACAATAATTCCACTGTCATATACGACACTACTGTCATGTACAACAACACTACTGTCATGTACAAGAATTCCACTGTCATATACGACACTACTGTCATGTACAACAACACTACTGTTATGTACAACACTGCTATCTTGTACCACAACACTACTAACTTGTACCACAACACTACTAACTTGTACCACAACACTACTATCTTGTACCACAACACTACTAACTTGTACCACAACACTACTATCTTGCACCATAACACAAGTATCACCTCGTCACCCACTTGGCTATCTCCGACTCGGCCGCCTCGTCCCACGAAGTGTCATTGATGAAGTGCGGGTAGTCCGGGTAGTCACTCAGAGGTATGTTATCCATGATGATCTTGTTGTAGTGGATGAGTCCTGCAAGGAGAGACCAGCTTAGTGGTAGGTGCTAATGATGGGTGGTAAGTGGATTGGTGTGGGTAGTGGATGATATGTTGTATGGGGTGGTGGAGGGTTTGTGTGGTTTTTGGGTACGTGGTGGTGGGTATTGGTTGGAGGGATTTTTAATGGGTACTATTACTACTTCTTCTGTTACTACTGTTACTTCTACTACTACTACTACTACTACTACTACTACTAATAATAATAATAATAATAGTAATAATTATAATAATACTTAACCCTACTACTACTACTACAGCTAATAATAATAATAAATAATAATAATGATAATTATTATTATTATTATTTTCCTATTGCACAGTCTGCTTATTTTCATTTAATTTCCTTCACAAATTCTTCAAAATACACATTATAATTAAGTCAGTCCGATGCTTTTGATATTAGAACTTAATAATGCACAACATTATTTAGATAACATTGATAACACTGGTCTGCAGGATTTTTGTATTGACTCTCTGGTATCTTTTTCGGTATATATATATATATATATATATATATATATATATATATATATATATATATATATAATCTTTCTTTCAACACACCGGCCGTATCCCACCGAGGCGGGGTGGCCCAAAAGGAAAAACGAAAGTTTCTCCTTTTACATTTAGTAATATATACAGAAGAAGGGGTTACTAGCCCCTTGTTCCCGGCATTTTAGTCGCCTCTTACAACACGCATGGCTTACGGAGGAAGAATTCTATTCCACTTCCCCATGGAGATAAGAGGAAATAAACAAGAACAAGAACTAGAAAGAAAATAGAAGAAAACCCAGAGGGTGTGTGTGTATATATATATGCCTGTACATGTATATGTAGTGTGACCTAAGTGTAAGTAGAAGTAGGAAGACGTACTTGAAACCTTGCATTTTTATGAGACAGAAAAATGGACACCAGCAATCCTACCATCATGTAAAACAATTATAGGCTTTCGTTTTACATTCACTTGGCAGGACGGTAGTACCTCCCTGGGTGGTTGCTGTCTGCCAACCTACTACCTATATATATATATATATATATATATATATATATATATATATATATATATATATATATATATATATATATATATATATATATATATATATATATACATATGGAAAATAGTGATTCATTTTGTTTTTTATTCATCTCTATCACATCAGGTTGTCAAGTTATACGGAAACGTTACTTTTCTCTTTTCGTATAACATAAGTAAATGAGAAAGTGGTATATTACCAATTAAAATGCTTACCTTATATTGACTTAAAAGTTAAATCTAATATATTTTTTTTATTTTCAGATTATTAATATATCTAGCGGCTGCAAAAATTCACCAAACATATTTTGTTGTCTGCGGGTAATTCATCCTTCAGATTCCCGGAGCAACATTACTCCTTTATTGAAGCGCTGCTACTTTGTTTATTATGGCAGCAAACTTGGAGACCAGAACAAACCATTTGCACCACACAAAGCTTGGGAGAGCTGCATCAGTAAGCTCCAAATGTGGTATGGTATGGCAGGAACAGATGAACCACCATGATGATTGCTACAATGATATAGCGGGAGTAGATGAACCACCATGATGACTGCTACAATGGTATAGCGGGAGTAGATGAACCACCATGATGATTGCTACAATGGTATAGCGGGAGTAGATGAACCACCATGATGATTGCTACAATGGTATAGTGGGAGTAGATGAACCACCATGATGATTGCTACAATGGTATAGTGGGAGTAGATGAACCGCCATGATGATTGCTACAATGGTATGGTGGGAGCACATAAACCACCATGATTACTGCTATAATGGTATGGCAGGAGCAGATGAACTGTCATGTGGGTTTCGAAAACGTGGATAGGGTAAAAATACTCACGTAGGCTGGTAGTACATATAATATAACGGAATGTGTGTGAAGCGCCAACAGCCGACCTGCCTCTCTGCTCTCTATCGTAAGACTAACTGACCCACAGTGCCTATGTGAAGGGGGTGTTTGAAATCCTGCTATGGTCAGCAGCAATATGAATACAGTCAGTGATTCACGCAGAGATGGTTGGTAGTGAGTCATCTACTGGTAAACTGGTTACTGGTAACTGGTTACTAGGAACTGGTACTACTACTGAGAGCTCGGCGACGCTAATGTATGTTGTCCCGACATACAACTACTACAAACTAGAGATGGCAGGTATACGGCTTGGGCTGATTCTATACAATGTCAAAGTACACAACAATTGAACATTATAACATACATAAGTAGAATATTGGAATGGAAGCTTACGTAACTGAAACTGTAATGCAATACAAGGTATAATATAGCACAACTCATTGAATGAAACTCAACGTTGAGATTACACAATAGAAGTGATAAAAAAAAATTTGATCGATCGATCTGTATTCATGTGATCTACGGATTCTGAGGAAGGAATATATACAAAGAAAGAAGTGTTTAACAGAAAGGCAGATTCGGTGCACTCAAATCTAGACTGTTAACTCTCAGAATTTGGAGAGAACGTGAACACACAAAAAAAATTCTTGAATACTGATAAGTTGATACTGTAATTATTCATCTATACAGGTTATTTACATTTAACCCCAACTCTGCTAGGGTGAGATTGACATATGGGTGTCATCTCTGGGAGGATCAAACTCTGTTGCACTGGCTAACTCATGCTGTATTTGAGGCAAATCTGAATTGGTAGTTACAAATGATACTTGAGGATTTCTCAATACCTGTCGTGTACGTAGGGAATAACGACATTCAGGTTGATTGTCTGACTGAGTATCAGAGGAAGAGAGTACAGGGTCAGGAGGATTGTCAGAGTCTGTCACATTAGTCTGGGTTGGAACATCATTATTATCACATACTAACTTCATATGATCTAAATGCGATTCTTTATACTGACCAGTACTAATTTCTCTAACCTTATACTTATTACCAGTGAGATGTTCAACTACTCGATAAGGACCAACAAACTTTTGATCAAGCTTAGGCATTGCAGACGTTTTGTTAAAGTTAGTCAGCATAACTCTCGAACCTACTTTGATTTTGGACGGCTTTGCTCGAGTGTTTGCGACTCTTGTAAATTCTGCTGTTGATTTATGAAGTGTTTCACGATTCTTCTAAAAACACTTTAGCTAAGCTGGTACGAGTTGCTATGAAATCATCAGGGTTGTAATTTGGTTTCGGATTAGAATATAACAACTCATAAGGCAAACGTTTATCTACACCATACAATGCATAATGTGGAGTGTCACCTATGGAAACATTGTATGCAGAATTTATAGCACACTGCACATCAGGTATAACTTCATCCCAAGTTTCACTGTTGGGATTGATAGTGGCTCTCAAGACATCAAGTACTTTTTTATTGGTTCTTTCCGCTAACCCATTGCTGGCAGGATGATGAGGAACAATGGTGGATTTAGAGATCTTGTACAAGGTACACAAATTTTCAAGAACCTCATTACAGAATTCACCTCCATTATCTGTTACTAGGGACTTAGGGGTGGTATGCCTGCAGATAATGCGTTCTTTAAACGCTTTAGCTACTGTCTCGGCAGTCTTATCTGCAATAGGAACTAACTCACAATATCTGGTGAAATGGTCTACCATAACACATAGATGTTTTTTTCCCTGGAGGGAACATTGGAAATTAGTTAACAAATCTAGCGCAACTCTTTCCCACGGTTCGCTAGTAGTACAATGGTATGACGGGAGCACATGAACCACCATGATGACTGCTACAATGGTATGGTGGGAGCAGATGAACCACCATGATGACTGCTACAATGGTATGGTGGGAGCAGATGAACCACCATGATGACTGCTACTTTTGTATGACTAAAGTAGCTGGATTCAACAAGAAGACTAAAGATCGCATAATATACCCAAATATTCCTTCACCAATAAGGTCTGTTCCACACTCAAGATATTCCTGTATCTGTGCCACTTAAGACATGGCAAATTTCATTCTGATACCAGTGATTCTAAGGAGATGGAAGTAGACTATGAACCACCAACAAATGACGATCCCAAATCCTTCAACCAAGTTGAGCTCAATGACTTGGTGAGAGACCTTAACCTTCCAGAAGAAAGTGCACAGTTACTTGGCTCTAGACTGAAGGAACACAGGTTTCTAGCTCCTGGAACAACATTCGCTTGGTACCGTCATCGTGAAGCGGAGTTTACTCAGTTCTTTGACAAAGAGGAATCCTTAGTTGTCTGTTCAAATATTTCTGGCCATATTGAACACATGGGGATGTCATACAAAGCAGATGAATGGAGACTGTTCATTGATTCTTCTAAAAGAAGTTTAAAGGCTGTACTTCTCTACAATGACAACACAGCTGCATCTGTGCCAGGTGGTCATAGTGTCCAAATGTCAGAAACTTACGCTAATATGAAGACACTAATATCTGCTATCAAGTACCAGAATCACAATTTTCTCATTGGTGGTGATTTAAAAATTATTGCTCTCCTACTAGGTCATCAAGGCGGATACACCAAGTATTCCTGTTTTCTGTGTCTTTGGGATGGTAGGGGCAGACAGCCAGCACTATGAACAAAAAGACTGGCCGCCAAGAACCAGCTTCTTACCCAGAAATTACAACGTGAAAACTGTGCCACTAGTAGACCCCAAGAAAATTCTGCTGCCATCACTCCACATCAAATTAGGGCTTATGAAAAATTTTGTGAAGGCCTTGAACAAGAATGGAACTACTTTCAAGTACCTGAAGTCAAAGTTTCCTCGTATTAGTGAAGGCAAGTCAAAGGCAGGAATCTTTGTTGGCCCTCAGATTCAGGAATTGATGAAGGAGAAGCATTTTGATGAAGCATTAGCAGGTGTCGAGGTGAATGTCTGGTTTTCATTCAAGCAGATTGTCCACAACTTCCTGGGAAACAGGCGCTCCCCCGAATATGAAAAAATGATCCAAGACCTGATTTCAAGTTTCCAACAACTTGGGCTTATAAT